AGCCAGCCAGTGTGGTTCTGGAGTCCTTGGTATGCCACCAGCATCTGGCCGGCTCCGTACGCGGCTCTCCTGGGGCTCTCATCTGCTTTACCAACGAATGTTTGAACCACACAGTCATGCAGTTTATTATATTGCCTTTCCCTTGTGAAGGAGCCTAAAATTACTGAATTTATTCTTGTTTCCCCCTTTAAAAGGACTTTTGTAATAGCTGAGAGGTGGAAGCAACCCCTGTCCACGGACAGATGAGTGGATAAACAAAACAGCGTCTATACATACAGCGGATTAACTCTCAGCCTTTAAGAGGAAGGAAATCCTGACACAAGCTCCAGCATGCACGGCGCTCAAGGACACTGTGCTGAGGGAAATAAGCCAGTCACAAAAGGACAAATACCATAGGACTGCACAGAGACAGAAAGTAGAGCGATGGCTGCTGGGGAAGGAGGAAATGGAGTTGTTGTTTAATGGGTACGGCGTTCCATTTTTGCAAGATGAAAGAGCTGTGGAGATTGACTGCCCCACAATATGAATGCGCGTAACACTACTGCGCTGCACACTTGCACAGGGTGAAGATGGGAAACTCCGTTATGTGCTTCTTATCACAATTAAATTTTTCTTAAAAGAAAAAAGAAATTGTGCTTTTGCCCTCTCAGCTTCTCCCCTCTCTTCCGCTCTCTAAGGAGCTAGTTTTCAGCAGTTGCGTGTCTGGGCTTTTGAGATAAGCGAGAGCGAGAGAAACTGTGGAGAAGCCAAACCCAGGCGGCTGCACCAAAAAGGCCTGGAGAAATTTATCTGAGGAGGAGGAAGGGGGCGAATGGAAGGAAGAACAAGGGCTTCACCCTGCTGGCTAAGGGATGAGGGGTTGGGGCAGAGAGAGTTCTTAGGAGCTCAGAATGAGCCGTGGGGAAAGGTTTCCTGGTGGCAGTGGAAGGAGGCGGGCAAGGAGAATTCTAAGCGGGGCTGAGTTTGACTCAGATCCTCTTTGACACCCTACTAGAGACATTAATACCAATTATAATTGCTTTGGTTGCTGGACTGTTTCTTTGCATATAATTTTGGTAAATGGAAAACAATAATATTAGGTTCAACTATGTGAAATTACTAATAGTATAATTTTTGATACAGAAAAATGGTAATTTCATATGGCTTCATCTAATATCCGATATTAATTGAGCAATTGCCACGTGTCAGGACAGTTCCAACCGCTCTACATGTGTCAGCTTAATCCTCACAACAACCCTATGATGCTGCTATGATTATTATCCGCATTTTACTGTTGAGGACGCTGAAGCACAGAGAGGTCAAGAGAAGTGTCCCAGCTAACTAGTGGCTGATCTAGAATCTGAACCCACTGGGCTCCAGAGCCAATGCTCTGAAACATGTGGGGCTTTGGCTTTTGTGTGCAAGGTTCTGAGCTCGTGGCATGGCAAATGCAAAGATCAGTGAGATGCAGCATTTATGGAGATGCCAGACTGCACGTAACAGAAGGCTCAGCAAAAGCCATGGCAGGAGATGTCACAAAGCGGCGGCAGCATGTGGGGGTGTGGGGGTAAGAGCTCCTAGCGGGTCAGATGCGGCACGGGGGTGGGGGGGCAGAGATAAGGGTTGAATTCCCTGCCCAACACCCACACTTGTTGTGAATTTTTCTAAGTGTATTAGGTACCTATTGCTGGATAGCCAATTCATGCAAATTTAGCAGCTTAAAACAACAAATATTTATTACCTCATAGCTCCTGTGGGTCAGGAATTCAAGAGCAACCTAGCTGAGTGAGTCTGGGTCAGGGACTTGGATAAGTTTTCAGTCAAGATATTGACCAGGCCTACAGTCATCTGAGGGCTTGACTGAGGCTGTGGGATCCACCTCCAACATGGCTCACTCACAAGGCTACTGGAAGGAGACCTCATTTCCCTACCACGTGGGCTTTTCCAATAAGGCTTCTTGAGCATCCTCACAACATGGCAGCAGGCTTCCCCAGAACAAGTCATCTCAGAGAGAGTGAGCAGGCTGGCAGCTGCAGTATCTTTCATGACCTAACTTTAAAAGACACACTCATTTCATTTGGTTACGCAGGTCATTCTTAGCCATTGTGGGAGGGGACATAAAGGCACGAATCATTAGGAGCCGCCTTGGAAGTTGGCTACCACAGTGAGTTATTAAACTTCATCAAAATGAAATCACTAGAGCCTGGAGGTCCACAAGGGGATGGCCTTTGTTTTGCTCACTGTTGTATCTCCAGAACCTACAGTGTCCTGCCCATGATACAGACTCAGTAAATAACTTATAAATGCATGAAAAAGAGGACCATGAGGGACAGGAAGCACTTTAATTGGTCCAGATGGAAGCATAAGATTGATTAAAGTTTTTAGAGCTTGATTCCCACCCCCAAGACAAATATCATTCATTTCACACAAATATTAAGCGGCAAGTGAACTCCTCTCCCCCCATAGTCCCACCCCACTAAGGAAACTAAAGTAAAAATGTCCGTAAAATGGAAGTAAACTGGGCATTTACTTCAAAGCATATTATGAAGAGTCAATGAGATAATGCTTGAAAGATCTTTGGCATAATGGCTGGTACAAAGCAGGTAATCAATCAAGTTGATCAAATCCTAATATAACTTAGTATATGTCTGTGGCAGATCGTATGGCCTAAAGATGACTGTATTACATATTTATTCCATCCCACATGCTCTTCTTATGTTACTGACACTCCTCACACAGAGGGGCGGGGTCTATGTTCTTTTTAAATCTGGGGCCTGTGACCACCTCGATAGAGTTCAACAGGGTCATGCTGTGTGAGTTCTGAAGCTAACAGGATACAGCGTCAGCCCATCTTTCTTTGTCTCTCAACATGTTTGCCCTGGGAACCCAGCCACCACACTGGGAGGAAGCCCAGGCCACAAGGAGAGGGCCTATGTGAGTGTTCAAGCTCACAGCCAGCGGGAATCAACTGCCAGACACGTGAGTACAAGAACCTTCATGTGATCCCAGCCTGAGTCTTCCATTCGAGGCTCCAGGCACAGCCCCATCGCACCCTGTTGGAATGTTAATAAGCTCACAGAGATCCCAGGAGATAATAAAAGCTTGTTGTTTTTTGTTTGGTTTGGTCTGGGTTTCTTTTTTTTAGCAGTTTTAGGTTCACAGCAAAACTAAGAGGAAGGTACGGAGCTCTCCCATAGGCTTTCTGGCCCCGCACATGCACACTGCCCCATCCCCACCACCTCCCACCAGTGATACACTTGTCACTGATGAACCTACATCAACACATCGTAATCATCCAAAATCTGCGTTCACTCTTGTACATTCCACGGGTTTAAACAAACATATAAGGACGTGTATCCACCGTTATAGTTTCATACACAATAGTTTCACTGCCCTAAAAATCCTCTCCCACCCACCCCACTAATTCCCAGAAACCTCTGATCTTGTTACTGTCTCCCTCATTTGCCTAGTATTGCTTTTTCCAGAATGTCAAAAAGTCAGAATATTACAGTATGTAGTCTTTCAGGTTGGCCTCTCTCACTCAGTAGTACACATTTCAGTTTCCTTCCACGTCTTTTTATGGCTTGATCACTCATTTCTATGTAGCGTTTACTGCACTTATTACTTTCAACCACTAAGTCTTGGGGTAATCTGTTATGCAGGAATAGGTAACTGAGTACCTGTCCAGAATTTCCTCTGGCTTCAGGGAAGAAAAGACATTTATGTTTTCACTCACAGCCTCAGGCATGGCTAGATCTAGGCAGCTCAAGTCATGTCACCAGGGCTCTGTGTCTCTTTTCCATTGGTTCTATTTTTCTCACTGGCAGCTCTAAGCTTTCCTGATTTTACAGCTCAAGATCCTAGGACAAAAAATGTTTCTCCCCCAAATAGTAGTGTAAACAAAAAGAAAGACCTCAGTCATTTGCTGTTACAGTGGGCCATGTTTTTTAATTTCAAGTCACAAAAGAGTTCTACTAACGGTTGCTTAAAGTTTAAACCATTAGGGTATTTACTATTTACTTAGAAGTCCAGAAGTGAGAGGCCCAGTACTGGTCAAATATCTAGGATTTAAGTTCTTTCCACCCTCCACTCTATCCTTATACTGTTGCCTTAGGGTTATTAACATGGCTTCCCCAGCTCAACACTTCACATCTGCCTTCAAGGGAAGCAGGAAAGGGAAGAAGGGACAGACAGTTGGTTTCTCAAGCATGTCACTTTTCTCAGAAAGTAAAGTATCTTCCCAGAAGCCATACTTTTACTTTATTGGCCAGAACTAGGTTATCTGGCCACACCCTAGCTGAGAAGCTGGGGCAGGACAGTGAGAGGTAGCAAAGTTGAAAGGAGGCTGTGAATGGCTGTTGGGTTAATACGTCCCATGTCCGTCCAGCCCTGAACCAATGAACTTCACCAAACCCACATGAACCCCACAGACAGAAGATTTCGGGGGCATGGGGGCAGGGTGCTTGCCCAAGCAAAGGCATACTCGAGTGTACAAAAACATCGACCCACACAGGTGCTGCAGTGTTCCACAGTGTGGATGAATTCACAGTTCTTTTAACTGGCCAGTTTTACTTCCAAAATAAGAAGATGGGAGGATGGGAGCTGATAACAGTTCAAACCCAGGCATGCAGTGGGAGGAGCCTGAAGGGGGTCAGCCGATTAGCGCACAGAACATTTCAGAGCTAGAGTGGGCTGCAAGGAAGGGAGGAGCAAACAGGAGGTCATCACGGCTGGCTGTGACCACCAAGCGAGCGATGCCAGTACTTCATCCAGTACTCACAACAGCCACATGATATCAGTATTACTTAATTTCCATTCAACCCCATGTCCCAGATAAGAAAATTGAGAGCTGGAAAAGTTTATAGTCTCATTTGCTTGACTTACTCAAGAACAGGGAATTCGCTAGACCAGAATCTTTCTGCTTAGTCTCCAGGCTGTCTGACTGCACCGTCACCAAGCTTAACACAGACCCTGCACAGTTTCCCTACAATTAAAGCCACACGAAGTCCCTCTTTCTGGAAAGATCTGAACACGGCTGCTGGAGGCGCGGCCCTCGTTTGATGTATTTGGAGAATGGTTTGGCAATTTCATGGTGAAACATCTGTAATCATGCTGAGATGAGATTTGACTGAACTTAAACCCAACAGCTACATCAACACTGAGGCCAAAGAACAAGCCCCTGTAACTGTGAAGGTATTACCTCCACCACCGGTTTCATGGGGGGGTGGGGGGTGGGGGGTGTCTCACGAGGTAAGGCAGCCTCTCTCCAGCTGGTCTGGAGCTGCAGCTGGGCACAAGCTGGGTCCTGGGATCACCTGCATGTGGCCACCCAGTTGACCATGGACGCCAGTGTGGTGGGTTTCCATTTCTGTAAAATATAAATATGGTCCAGGAAAAACATTTAAGAATGTAGTCCAAACTGCTAGCAATGGTTGACTGGGGGTGGGGACTTGGGCAGCGCAGGAACCTACCTTTTTTTCTAGTATACACTGCTGCAAAGGTTGATCTTTAAAAAGGAGGGGGGCAGAAAAAAATCCAATTATATTTAAAGCAAAAAAAAGTTGTAATATCTAGGTAAATAAATGACATCTAAAAAAATGAACCTTAAGACAGAGCCGGGCCCAACTCTGGGAGTCCGAGGGAGCGACTGCGCCCCTCAACCCCGCCTCCCACGGGCCGCTCCCTGCCCGCACGCCCCAGGAGCGGCGTCGGGAGGGAGGGAGGCGGCCCCAGCCGGGCACAGTGCGCCCGGGAGCGACGACCCCGCGGCGTCAGCCCGGCCGGGGAGCGGCGCCGCGTGACCCGAGGCCACGTGATGCCGAGTGGGGCGGGGCCGCCGGCGCCGGGTCTGCAGCCGCCGCGGGAGGTGGACGCGTAAGTGGGCAGCGGGGCCGGCGGGGACCCTCCTCGTGGGCGGGCGCGGGCGGGGGTCCGTGCGCCGCCCCGGTCCCGGGTGCTCTGGGGCCGGGACCCCAGCGAGCTGCTCGGACGCGCTGTCTAGGCGGGCCCGGAGGTGCGATGGGCTCGCCATCGGGGTGCAGGGAACACCCCTGGACCCCACGGACCGCCGTCCGGCCGCCGCAGCCGCGGGCCTTACCCCTCTGAGGAACCGCAGTGAGGGGCAGCAAACGCCCTCCCTCCGCAGCGATTACCGGTACCCCGGGTACTCTCGGGGAAACTGAGACGCCCGAGCAAGGCCGGCGGGTGGGGGCCCGCCTCTCCAGTCCTGAGAGGGGGCACGCTGATTCGGGCAAAGCCCTCCCCCGCCCCAGCGGCCCGGGATGAACCCCTGACCTGTTCACTTTGGAAGACTACAGGGGTAGAAAATACCCAGTGGGTGGGGGTGGAGGAGCGGGGAAGGGGCGGGTTCGCAACCGCAGTAGCTAACATATTGGGTACTGTGTGGTTTGCGTGCAACCATTGTGAAATGTGTCAGGTAGGTACTATTGTCCCCCTTTTACAGAGAACTGGGTCCTTTGCGAGTCGGTGAACGGAGGAACTGAGATTAGAACCCACGTCTGTTCCGCATCAGCGCCGCCTGGGGTGGGGGATGTGGAGGCCCTTGGCCCAGCCTGTTACCCCATCTGTGAAGTGAAAGTGAAGGCCGCTCCTCCTCCTGGCTCGGGCAGCCTGGAGAGAGGGTGTTGCTGGGTGCACAGCGTTTGTCCCCTCTCCCTCACCACCTCCTTGCCGTTCTCCCGGTCACTTAGCACGGATTCCCTTTCTCACCTGCCCCCTGCAGGACAAGATGAAGCTCATCATTCTGGACCATTATTCTCAGGCCAATGAATGGGCAGCCAAATATATCAGGAACCGCATCATCCAGTTTAACCCAGGGCCCGACAAGTACTTCACCCTGGGGCTCCCCACTGGTGCGTTGTGGGGTGTAGAGGGTGCCATGGGTGGCGGGGAGAGGGAGAGAATGAGCATTAGGGTTCTAAGGGGCCAAGTATGGAGGGTTCACTCAGCCCAGGGGACCTAAAGGAGGGCTCTGAGCTGCTGGTGCTGGGAATGAACTCTGTCCCCGGGACATAGAACACAGACGACCCAGCTTCCTGTATGGGTTGCCCAGCTGCCTGCCCCTGGAGTCCCTGAGTAGAGCTTGGTTGGGCAGAAGGAACTTCCTGATATTTAGGTTATACCCTAAGTCAGCCCTTTCAGCCAGGGTTCCTCCACAGAATTAAGTCCTGATGCCTTAAGGCACAGACTTTATGTAATGAATTAATGCATCTTATGTGCATCTAGAGTGCCCCTAGCTAAGCACCACACTTGGGAGTCACTCAAAGCATTTTCAGTAAGGCTTAGTTAAACGCGGGACCCATATGAAAAACAATCTCAGTTTGAGAAAAAAAATCAGAATGTTTCCTGTATGGGAGGATATTTTGACCCCTTGAGGCAAATGTCTCGATTATTTCTTTTAGAAGTTGGGTGGACTTGCCCCAGTGGCCCACCCACTAGAGCAGCGGTCTTCAAACTTTCTGTAAATGGCCAAACAGTAAATGCTTTACACCTTACTGGCCATGCAACCTCTGTTCCTACTACTGAACTCTGCCCTGGTAGATTGGAAGCTGTCATAGTCAATATATAAATGAATGGCATGGCCTTCTGCCAATAAAATTTTATTTATGGACACTGAAGAGCAGCCCTAAGGCATTCTTGGGTGCCCTCTGGGAGCTGGGGGCTGAAGGAGGTTCATGGCTGTGGCCTCTCCCACAGGGGGCACCCCGATTGGCTGCTACCAGAAGCTGATTGAGTACTGTAAGAACGGAGACCTGTCCTTCAAATATGTGAAGACCTTCAACATGGATGAGTATGTGGGTGAGTCTCTCTTTTAAGGTCTTAACCTGAGTCCAGAAGGCGAGGCCCAAGAGAGGAACGGGGACGTCTCTGGGGGCCAGTGACTTTGGTAACAGACTCAGTTGATTTTCTCAGTTTTAAAAAGGGGGTGTAATGCTGACTTCATAGCATTAGCTGCTATAATAGACATGGAAGCCTCTTGTATAAAGCAAACACTTCACATAAATATTAGTTACCTCCTCCTCTGCCTCCTCCCTGACTCCATGCCATTGCCATTTCTGTTGGAACAAATGTTTGCATATGGGACTGGCTGGGGTGTGTCCCCCAACATCTGTGTCTGGACTCTCCAGTGTTCATGCAGCAGCTCCCCTGTTCTGCCAGATACACCGGGAGGGGAGCTGAGACGGTGTCCTTCCCACTGCTAAAAAGCTATACCTGTCCTCTGTCACTCCCCTCTCCCACCATCATTTTGTAATGGCTTCACTGTAAACATTTTCTTAAATTGTGGTAAAATAAACATAAAATTTACCATCTTAACCATTTTTACATGCACAGTTCAGTGTTAAAGTGTATTCACTTTGTTGTTCAACTGATCTCCAGAATTCTTCATCTAGCAAAACTGAAACTCGCCCGTCAAACGCCCAACCACCCATTCCCTGCTCCCCTGGCGGCCAGCATTTTACTTTGAAATCGGCTACTCTAGGTGCCTCGCGTAAGGGGACTCAGACAGTCCTTGTCTTTTTGTGACTGGCTCACTCCAACACAGTGTCCTCAAGAGTCACCCATGTTGCAGCATCGGTCAGAATTTCCTTCTTTTTTAAGGCTGACATGAAACATTTTGAATGTTTAACATTAAACATTCACTTTAAAAATTCCTTTCCTTTTGGCTGAAAAAATTTCTTTTGGAGAAGTCCTGAGATAATTCTTTCCAACCCCCTGATGTTCACGTCGGGGTTCAGGCTGAGTGGGTTATAACCAGGGGTGAGCGGTGGGGTGGGAGGCGCAAGGGAAGGAACGTGCTTGCCTCCCTCCCAGATGGGCCCAGCCCAACCCCGAGGGGCCAGGCCGCCGCCAGAAGCCCAGGGAGACCCGAGCCTCCAGCCTGTGGTCATTCCCTTGTGGAAAGAAGATTGGAGTGAGGGGCTTCGCAGGCCCCCGGGGCGTGGTTACTCCAGCCTAGTCCCATGGTCGTAGGTGGTGGTGGTGGGCAGACACTTAGGGACCTCAGTGCAGCCTATCCCGAGTGGCTGGGGGTCAGAGGGCAGGTGCCCAGGGCCTCCCTGATGGCATTTCCTTCAGAATGTCTCCGAGGGTCTAGGAGTACCCTGGCATCCTCCTTAGGATGGCTCTTGGCCAGGCTCTGGCTTAGCCTGGGCATGACTGAGTGCGGCCGTGGCCCCACAGGCCTTCCTCGAGAAAACCCGGAGAGTTACCACTCCTTCATGTGGAACAACTTCTTCAAGCATATTGACATCCACCCAGAAAACACTCACATTCTGGATGGGAACGCAGCTGACCTGCAGGCCGAGTGTGACGCCTTTGAAGAGAAGATCAAGGCTGCGGGTGGGATTGAGCTGTTTGTCGGAGGTGAGCTTGACGCTGAGCAGGTGTCCACGGCAGACCAAGGATTGTTAGAAAGGGTGGGAAGGACAAGACCCAAGCCTTTCTCCAGACGGCCTCCTTCCTCTGCGCTAGGGGCAGTGGGGTCACTTAGTGCCCCCGAGGAAGCAGGGAGGGCAGGGTGGCTTTAGCTCCATCTGCTGCTCAGTAACTCCCCTTGCTGCATTTCAGTGTCTTGTCTGTAAATCTGAGGGATTTGGACATGGAGATTCTGTTCCCCAGTCTTACAAGTTTTATAAATCAATCATGAAACTTTATAAACAGCTAAAATCACAGACTCATGTTCCCCACACTCAGCCCCTGCACGCTGTAGATAGCCAGCTGAACCCCGGAAGGTTTGTGGCTGCCCAAGGCCCGCTGGCTGGAGCGGCAGATAAGGCAGGACCCCGAGGGTGTGCCCCCTCTGGGACCTGTGGTCCTGTTTGTATCCTGGGCTGCCCGGTTTCCCTCCGTCGCCGCCTCGAGTTAGCCGCGGGGCTGTGACGTTGGACCGCGTCTGAACTGCTCTCAGTCTGACTCTACTTCAAGGTGGGAAGGAAGAGGCGGGAGCGCTCATGTTCTGAGACCGGGAGCTTGGCAGCCTCTGAGCAGGCCGTGTGTGTTTTATTTGCTCCGGCTCTGTCACAGCGGTGGGGCCCCTGACTACAGGCAAAGAGAAAAGATACAGTCCAGGGATCTAGGGAGGCAAAAGCCACTTGGAGTTCCCCTTAGCGTCCTGGGGGTGGTGGTCAATGAACAGTGTCCACGTGCCTCCGATAGAAACAGGGCTGAGGAGTGGGGAAAAGGGAGATCACATGCTTAGTGTGCCTGCCCAGGGTGAGTGAGAAGGGACACGTGGTTTTCAAGGATTTTTTTCAGATCCCAGGTGGGGAAGGAGATTGTCCGTTACTGAACTCCCGGATCCCCGGGACTGAGCGGGCTGGCCTGGCTCTCCCCCATGCAGGCATCGGCCCTGACGGACACATTGCCTTCAACGAGCCGGGCTCCAGTCTGGTGTCCAGAACCCGTGTGAAGACCCTGGCCATGGACACCATCCTGGCCAATGCCAGGTTCTTTGATGGCGATCTCACCAGGGTGCCCACCATGGCCCTGACGGTGGGCGTGGGCACTCTCATGGAAGCCAGGGAGGTGAGGACATGAGGGGTCCACAGGCCTTCACTGGGGGGGCTGGACTTGTCTTGTTAAATTTAACTCTTCAGGTACCACCCAAGTACATTTTATTAAAAATGAAGATATTATGAAAGAAGCTGTAATTCCCATTGACACTGTGCCACCGCCTCCTTTGGAGGCAACCACTGTTCCCCATGCAAAGTGAATCCCTTTAGCCCTGACTATCCTGGAGGCGGCGGCTCCCTGGCCTCTGGCCTCTGCTTGCTCACCCCTTTCAAGCTTCTCACAGGCAGAGAAGAGCCCAGCACCACCCATGTTGCACCTGTCCAGGTACCGAAAGGGACCCTCTGATTCCCTGCAGTTGTGGAGGTCACCGTCCGAAGGGAGCTCCCCCTGCAGCCCCAGAATGTTTGTGGTTACAGCTCTGTGCTCAGAGATTCATAAATGTGGAGAAGAGGGGCTGAAATTGAAATGTCTTGAACTGGATTTAGTTTTTCCTTAGGAAGTTCGGTATCATTTGAATTTCTTGTGGTTCCAATTTCCTTGTCTTTCAGGAGAATTTCAGTAGCATTTTCTCCTGATGATGCACATTCAGTGGGAAGCAGCTACAGACATTTTAGCTCCAAGTTTTTTGCCCAAATCTGTTAACAAACATCTACATCAGTGAAACAGTTTCTCTATTTGAAGTGAACTATTGTGAAATGAGCGGTGGCACCAGCTCTCTGTTAGGTGACCGAGAGTCAGTCCCTGGAAGGTCACTGCTGTTGGGCCCTGTAGCTTGTGAACACAAGGTCCCTCCCCACCCGGTGAGGGTCTCGTGGTCTGGGAAAGGACCTGGGGCTGGAAATCAGGAAATTCCTTCTTGAGAGTGAGTTCTGGGGTCCTGAACGAAGACTCACATTCTCTCTTTGCCTCGGTTTTCTCATCTTCTAACAGAGGAACAGTAAATCCTGTGCACAGCTCCATGGTTAAGTGTGTTATAATGAAAAGTGATTGATGACCCAAGTTCTTTTTTCACTTCCCAGCACTTACGTTCCTGACATTTTAACTGTTGAAGAGTCTGTGCCTAAGATTTAAACAAAACATGTTAGCCCATCACATAGTAGGGCTAATACTCAGAATGGAAAGTGACCAGATAAAGAGGCAGCCTTTGGGGATTCGACCTTAGGGGCCACACACATTAACTGCCCCATTGCTGCCGAGGCTCCCTTATAGACGGTGCAGATGGTGATCATGAAAACTCACCCAGCTTAGGATCCCCTGGGACCTGCTGGCACTGTTGGGATAACAGGTGTGGGCCCGTGTGGCATGCCTGTTTGGAGGGCACCATCACAGCATCAGAGGTGCGGGGGGCATTATCACATGGTGATCTAGGGCATGGACTTGGGTCGCAAATGGCCTGGGGCAAGTTGGTTAAGACCCCCGCCCCCATTTCCTCGTGGAACATGGGGTATAATGCTCCCTGCCTCTGGCTGTTTGTGTGATCAGGCACACAGAACACGACGCACAGTGGGTCGCAGGCTAACGACTTACACTGACGTATCAGAACACAAATCCGTACGACCCCTGGGGGGGCTGGACCAGCACCCAGGTGTCCAGACTCCCGGGCCCGCTGCCCCTCCGTCACAGGCCTGTCTTCTGGTCCCAGGTGATGATCCTCATCACAGGCGCTCACAAGGCGTTCGCTCTGTACAAGGCCATCGAGGAGGGAGTGAGCCACATGTGGACCGTGTCCGCCTTCCAGCAGCACCCCTGCACGGTGTTTGTGTGCGACGAGGACGCCACCCTGGAGCTCAAAGTGAAGACTGTCAACTATTTCAAAGGTGAGGGAGGGTGGCTCTGAGAGTGGCCGGCCGGGTCTAGAGTGTGCCAGGGGTGAGGACTGACTCTGGTTTCCCTGCTCTGGCCATTTTAGTAGACATCTCTGATTTTAACACAACTCAAACCCTTCTGTCTCAGAATGCACAGTCATATTGCTGCACATCCATGTATCAGAATGCACAGTCATTGCTGTACATCCAGTGCTGCATCCATGCCTGCAAGGGTCCACTTCCGGAGATCTGTTAGCTCTGAGGAAGAAAGAAAATGCAGTGAAGAGCTGTAGTCCAAGGGCTATGTGATCACTTTGCAGTGACACTGAGCATCGGGTTTTTTCATCTTTCCAGATCTTGTATAGTCTATGCCTTTCCCCTCTAGGCAAGGCACTCAGACATGAAGATCTTTTCTACTTAAAAAGGACACACTGCTTTAAGTGCATGCTTTTGTGAAAATCTGTGAAACTTCTGTGAAAATCTTCATTTACTAAGGAAACTAGGAATTTGTTCTATGCTAAAAAGAATGACCTTTTAATAGCCAGCTTCCCAAGAGATTGAATTTACAAAATCCCATGGATTCTATCATTCAGTGGGAATAATAAATTTTCTTCCTGCTTTTAGGGTGGTGGTCATTTGGGGCCACAGAGGAAAGATGATGAGTCTAGGACCAAATCTGAGAGCTCTTGGATGTTATTGTTGATAACCATGGAACTGTGCCTCCACGTGCATTAACTTTTTTTAGTTTTTTGTAGGTTTAATGCTTGTTCATAACAAGTTGGTGGACCCGTTGTACAGCATCAAAGAGAAAGAAACGGAAAAGAGAGAGTCTTCTGAGAAACCGTACGGTGATTAGCCTGCTGATCCTACATCAGGTACCTCCGTGGCACAGGTGGAGTCTTTCTGGGGATGGTCTTTAGGAGAACAGAATTGTATTTCCTTAATCCAGTACGGTTCCTCCAGATGAATGGGTGAACGTTCTGTTCTTGGCCATGCAGCACGGAGCCTAGTCATGGCATTTAGCTATAGGCAGAATGACTTGTTTGTAATTTACTCTAAATCAGAAAAAAAAAAAAAAAAAAATCTCAGAAAAATGTACTCCCATGATCTTGATGTCTGCCCCGCACAGGGCAGGGGCTTTTAGCTTTTTGTTCTGCCTCTGCCACTGTTCCCATCTACCACATGCTCCCAGCAGGAATTTCTATCATCACATGCACTGATCTTAATTGGGGGGGATAGGGGCTTGTGTGTATTGGACAGAATGTTTTCGGAGAGGCTTCAGAACCCCTCTTGAACAGGCCTACCCTTCTTTGAGAACACTGTTCCAGATTAAGGAACAAACTCTCCCAGCGTCTAAAATAAGTATAAGGAGGCATTCTCTGCTGAGTAACAAGTGCCACAGAAAGAAAGTCTCTTTTCTTCTCTAGTTGTTTTCTTCTGCTCACAGTTGGCCTTTCCGTGAACTTGGAGGACTCCTTGGGGGCAGATTTGGTTGGCTGGGACTGAAGAGAAAGTTTTGGCTGATGAATTGAGCCTCAAGGGGCCTAGCCATGTCAACTCCCTTCCCTCAGGGACACTCCTTCAACAGGAGGAAGACAGAAACACTTCTCCCATCAGAGCCCTGTGCTTTCGTTCCAAATCTCCCTGGCACCTTTTTTACATACTCGTTAGTGAGGAGGAGGTCCGTGCGGGACACTATCGGTTTCAGCATGGTGTTCAGCCGAAGTGATGGTGGGGAGCCCAGGGCAAGCAGATGAGTCCCAACGCAGGCCTGACCCGTTCTCCTGCCCCCCTAGGAATCCGGCGCCAAGACGGCACATCGGACGCCTCTCCAGTTGCCTGCCCTCCTTTCCCCGCTTACCTGCCCAGCCTTCTGAGTCTTTCAGGCTCATGTGGCATGTCTGACATCCCCAGATCAGAAATACAGCCGTTGTCCCCCTTTATCCTTCACCCTGCTCATGAGATGAGTCTGTTGCTCTTCCTTTTATTCTTAAGCCTTATTGGAGTGGACGCTGCCGCCGGCTCCCTCTGTTGTGCCTGTTGAAGCTGCTGCCGCCTCTATTCTCTGGGGAAGACCTATCAGAGCCTGGCTCAGGCCACTCTCAAAGTGCTGTTTGGTACCAGTGTTTTACCTTTGGCCTTTACATGTGATTGTGCTGTCATTCTGTTTTAGGCTAATGAATCAGTGGAACTGTTTACAACGTGATTATTTTCTATTAAATCTAGTATTTTCAAATAAAATGTGTCATTTGTGGATTTGACCCCCAAGGGTCAGAAGGTACTCTGGGTTGATATTTATATACTTTGGGACTAGCCGGTGAGCAACGCTGCACAGTCACTCCTCAGAACGCTGCAGGAAGTCACCATCACAGCAACCGCTCATCTCTTCTCCTATCACCAGGAGGAAGGGAAACCAAAGCATTTTATAAAAATGAAGGGCGTTTGTGAAAAACGCTGGGAATGAACAGACGAGCAGTAAGTTGTCCTGTTGTGCCTGTACGTGCGATCCAAACCAGGACACAGCTGTCAAAAGGAATACGGCACATCTGTAACCAGGAGGGATATAACACAGCAAGGCGTGGAAAATAGATTTCGTTGTTTTTAAGTTAAAAAAGTTGCTAAAATGGGACATCTTGGGTCCATATAATCAACTTAGGTATAAGCAGTTGGAAGAAGGGTTTAATTTTTTAACAACTGTACTGAGATAATTTACATGCCCATAAAAATGACCTATTTTAAATATAAATGATTTTTATTAAGTTTATGCAGTTATACAACTCACCACAATCCATTTGTCACCCCTAGAAGCACCCTACTCCTAACCACAGCCCAGGTGACCACTGATTCACTCTGTCAACAGATTTACCTTTTTTTAAGACACTTCATATACAGCTGATCCTTGAACAACACGAGTTGGAACTATACAGGCCCACCTGCACGTGGATTTTTCAATAAATACTTTGAAAACTATTTTAAAAAATATTCTTTTCTCTAGCTTTATTCTAAGAATTCAGGTATATAATATCTATACAAAATACATTAATCAAGTCTTCCCATTATCTGGTCAACATAGTAGTTAAGTTTTAGGGAGTCAGAAGCCAAAGTGGAGTCTCGACTGTGTAGGGTGGGGGTGTTGCCACCCCCCCACTGCACCAGCCTGGGCTCAGCTGTAAAGGGAATCCTACGGCGCATCTTTTGGGTCCGGCTTCTTTCACTAAGGATAATGTTCTTAAGGTTCATCCATATAACATGTAGCAGTATCCCTTTTTACTGCTGGAGTATTCCATTGTATACACACACCACATTTTGTTCATCCAGTACAGAGGGGATTAAAGTTTAAGTAGGTATAGTGTGGGAAAAAATTACATTAGAATGAAATGAAAAATGATTCAGTGATGACAGCTGAACTGGAGGTGCCTGGATGAGCTCGAGCAAACCCGTCTTCCCTGGGCCTGTGCTCCCCTGGTGGCCCGACAGCAGGGGCGTCCTGCTACAAGTGACCCGTATGCAGACCAAGTGGGATGTGCACTCTGGCTGGACGGGGCCTCCGATACTACCTAGGGCTCCTTGAGGAAGAGCCAATTTCTATGTTTGGGGGCAGGGATCACATTGGGCCTGGAATATCTTGCTGCCAGAAAACAGGGGTACTTAAAAAAATGTCTGAGGCAGTGTTGCGAGTCAGTGGGGTTCCCAGTAGCCAAGTTGTGACAATTTGATCAACAAGGAAGTAATATGAAATGCAGCAAAGTGGAACAAGTTGAATCTTAAAACCCCAAGTCTAATACTCAGAAGAAGGTAATATTAAGTATACATGAAGTTGCAGTTCAGAAAGAGTAGATAGAATGTGTTTAAAGTTTTATTACACTTAGTAAAACGTGGCAGCATGTTGATGTGAATGCGTGTCACCTATTATATACATGTTTACAAAGTAGAGATGGAGACAAGGGCCCGGCCTACTGTTCCCCTCAGATACATGTATGTATGGCTTATTCTCTCATTTCCTTCAGGTCTCTGCTTAAATGTCATTTACCAGAGAGATTTTCCCTGACCCTCCAATATAAAGTAGCAATCCTGATTCCCTATCCCCCATCCTGCTTTTTTTCTCAGAACCATTTCCCACGTAACATATTTTCCTACTAACTAAGCTTCATGAAGCTGACTTTAAACACTGTCTGTCCCATCCCTACCAGGGCTTTGCTATCTAAAAGGCACCCATTATTTACTGAACTATAAGCATGACAGTTCCCTCCAAGAGTAGTGACCATAACAAATAACCAGGGAAAATAAGAGCATATGATATGATAACGGATTAGGCAACTGGCCTACTAAGGTATCTAAAACTTTGCCAATTTGATGCCCCTTTCCCAGGAACCAAAATCCTTATTGTGATGAGATGCTAGTGAAGCACATAAATTTCCGATATGATGTACTGGGACAGAATTCTGAGTTCTATAATTATGGGTACATAAAATGAACACAGTAATTTGGACCTCATGGGAATCCTTAACACAGCAGCTAGCAATCACAGTGAATAGTTGATTAAGTCTCCTTGAAGACTAATTCATAAGGTCTCAACCCTCCAACCCCTGTCCCCTAGGCTTTTCTCTCAGCTGATGACACCGTGAAAGTAGAAGCCCTCAGGGACGAATGCCACAACTCCCACCAACACATCCCTGCTCTCATACTTTGCCTTCTTCCTGTTACCAAGCCAGGCCCTCCACTTGGGTACTAACTCCCATCCTATCTTGCCTCTTTAAGGGCATTGCATGACTCCTTTCTCACCCAAAGCACCAAACTGTCCTCCGGGACCACTACCAGCATACAAAACAAGCTTTAAAAACAAAACTACCCTATGTCCCCCTCCTGTAACAGCCTCATTTTCTGGTCCCTTCACTGCAGAATTTCTGGAGTCACCTACACCCTGGCTGCAAGCTCCACGCATTTGCTCTCTCCTGGATACCACTACTCATACGTTATACCTTTTACAACTATCTCGCAGTTCTTGGATATTCTGTACTTTGTAAGATTTCACTTTGGGGCGTTTCTATTCACGTATCTTCAAGCTCACTGACTCCTTCCTTAGCTGTGTTCAGTCTACTGATGAACCTGTCAAAGGCACTCATACCTGTTCCATTCATTTGTTTTTATTTCTAGCATTCCTTTTTGATTCTCGGGGCCTGCATCTTCTGCTTACTCAGCTGTTCTCGTATGTTGACGCTTTTTCCGTCAGAGACCACAGCATTATTTCTCAGTTATTTTAAATTCCCAGTCTGAATATGCTAAAACCTTTGCCACCTCTGCGTCTGGTTCTGATGCTTGCTTAGTCTCTTCAGACTTGTTTTCCTGATTCTTAGCATCATTGTAACTTTTTATTGAAAAGGGGACACGCACTGGGTAATAGGAACTGAGGCAAACTGGCCTTTGGCGTGAGGATCTGTTTAATCTGGAAAGCAGCTCCGTTGTGCTCAGTGTCTGCTGTTGGCGTCAGAGGCTTCAGTTTCCTTCAAGTGCCCTTGTTTTTGTCTTCCCTGTTGTCTTTGGATTTCCCTAGAAACTCCTTAAAGTCTGAATCTTTCAGTTCTCTCAAGAGCTGTATTCCATTGCTGTAACACTGAAGCCCTACTAATGAGAAGGCTTCAGGGAGAAGAGGCATTCTACAGTCCTACGATTAAATGCTTTGTCTTTTGTAGTGGGCTAGAGTCCCCGGGCTGAGATCTTTAGTAGGAGTTTTTTGGCCTTTTTTTCCCCCCTCGTATGTAAGACAGGAAGGCTCGGGGGGGGGCTCGAGCCATCCAGCTGCCCTTCCTCTGGGTCAAAGTGGTTTTCCGTGAGGCCAGGCTTCTGCTCCGGACACAAAGCTCTGGGTGTACTCCAAAATGGCTGCTTTTCCCCTCCCTCTTCCATGAGGCGATTTTTCTGCCATCTTCACAGTAAGGACTTGGTAGACCTCCTGTAGGTAAATGTGGGGAACTTAGGCTTAGCCCCTAGGAGCTTCAAACTCTCAAGCTAGTCCACACTCAGCCCCCAACAATTGGCTTAAATCCCGATAATTGGCTTTAGCAGCTTCTGTTTCAGGTGAGCTGGTAACAACTTCCTGCATTTTTCCTGCCTCTAGCTTTTGTGGTAGTTTGCTCTGTGACCTCAACTCTCTGATGCCACCTAAGAAAAGCTGATTCGCAGTTTGCTCACAGCTTTTTTCTTATAAGGATGCCCCATTCCTTCCCAAACACCGTCCAGATTTTCACCTCCTTTCCATGGAAACTGTACCTGTCAAACTCACCAATAACCTCTACAATGGCGGCTAAGTCCCTTCTTAAAAGCTTGTATCACCTGACCTGCCTGCATTATCTGACACAGCTGACTGCTACTTCCTTCGGCCTGATGTGGCTTCCAGGACAGCACACTGATGGTTTTCTTACCTTACTGGCCATTCTGTGTCTCCCTGGCTGGTGGCTCCACATCACTCGAAACTCTTGGCATTCAGAGTGCCCAACACTCGGTCTTTGGACCTCCTCTCTCTTGCACAACTCACTCTCTTGGTGATTTCATCTAGTCTCATGGCTTTAAATACCATTTATACATTGACTCACATATTTACATCTCTAGCCTGAGTCTTGAACTCCAGACTGGAATATCCAACTGCCTAACTAGCATCTCCACTGAGACACCCACCAGGCATCTCAAACTCATCTGTCCACACCTGAATTCCCGACCTTCACCAGCAAACCTGTGCTTTCAGGTTTCTCCTCTCGGCTACTCAGAGATCTAGGAATCGGCTCTGGCCTTACGTTCTCACATTACAGATCCAATACATCAGCAGTTCCTATTAGTTTTACCTTCAAGGTAAATACAGAACATGACCACTTCTCTAGTTCTGACCACTGTTTCAATCCACCTGCACTTCTCACCTGAGGTACTACAGGAGTCTCCACCCTTGACCACCCCACTCCCTACCACACTTCTGCTCAAAGCCCGTCAGTCTCCCATCTCAGGACAGAAGCCAAGGTTCACGCAAGGCCCTGTGCGTCTGCAGCACAGCCCGCTGCCACCCCATCTCTTACTATTCCCTCTCCCTCAGCCTGCTTCAGCTCCCAACGGCCACCACGCTGTTTCTGGAGCCCTCTAATATGCTCTTACCAAGGGTCTGCGCCCTTACTGTCCCCTCTGCTTGGAATCTCTTCTCCCAGGTATCCACAAGGTACATTCCCAAGCCTCTGTTCAAGTGCTCTCTCGATGAAGTC